TCTGAAGCTGTAGCTGATCTTAGTGCTTGATCGGAAAGTCAAGCTGCCACAAATCAGGCAATTCTTCAATCTCTGACTGATCTTCACTCCAAGATGGATGCACAGACTCAGATATCTAAATTCTTCTTAGCCAAAGATACAGAGTTCACTGTGGACTTGGGTCCTACTCAGTTCATGGAAGAGGACAGGGTTATGCTAGCCAAAGTAAGTCGCCATGTTGAGTCCGATTATGCTCTTTTTGGCGGTCTTCATCGCGGTATCTCACATCTGCTTCGTGCCACATGTGCTCCCTTTCCTCGTGCTACTTCCTCTGTGCCTTCCCCACCTGCCATGTGGAGGGTCTTTCTATTCCTGCTAGTGGACCTTCCCCTGTTCCCACTGAGGGGGAGAAGACAGTTGATCCTACTACCAGTGACAATGGGGACGACGACTCAGCTTCTACTTCTTCGACCTCTTCATCCTCAGCTGAGTCAGACTGTGATGCTCCGATTGAGGGGGAGCTATCTGATCATGATGATAGAGCCACAGTACCTATTGAGGGGGAGCAACCATGTTCAATGCCTTCAGTATCTGTTGAGGTTGGTACTATCCCTTCTCAAGATGATATTCCCACTACTTTTGGGGACTTAGTCCAAACTCACAGAGAAGGAAAGGCACCCATGACGTCAGATGAAGAAGTTGCTGCAGCTAAAGCAGCTAAAATTGCTAGACATCAATCTGTAGTTCCTTCAGCCGATAGACTTGTGCTTAAAGCTTCATATCCTCAAAAAACTGATCTTCATCTCCTAGGTATTTCTTCTGAGGATGCGGCCAACTTAATTACTCTTCAAAAGCAATTTGAGGAAGCCAACATATCTCACTTCTTAGTCCCACGATCTGAGTCTGAAGAAACCAAAGTATAAAGAATTAAATGGTTTAATGACTCAATTCTCCGACGCTACACTACTACTCAAATTGTCAATGCCAGAATTAAAGGTCCTTAAAAATTGACCTATGATTCCAATCTGATCCATTTGATTATTGGTCGAGAAAACGGAGCTGTGAGGACAGAAAAGCTGACTTGGATCATTTCCTACGGTCTTACTGAGTGGATGGAGATCATCAAGTTTCTAAGTAAAAGCATAAGCATTTACAAGGAATTTGTCTTGAGTCATCTATATTGCCTTCTCAAAAAGATACAAATGATCAAAATGCATTACAAGTTGCCTTCCCCTCCACAACTCTCCTTTCTTAAGCAAGTGTTAAGCAAAGTTGGCTCTTCTAAATCTGCTTCTGCCTCGAAGACCATCAAGAATCAAGACTCACTTATTCAGAAATTATCAAAGTAAGGTAAGGCTCCTGATGTCTCACATCTTGATCTTACCCTTCCTTCAGATGTTTGTCATCCGAAAGGAACTATCTTGTCCGCTTCTGAGCATGGAATATTCTTCTGGGACGCGAGTAGTTGCCTTCGATTTTAACGAGCTTCTGAGATACCTATAGCTGATTCTCAGCTATTGCGCGTGATACTGAGTGTAATCAAAATTGGTGAAGCCGGAAGAGTCTTTTATACTTTGATCTCGGATGAACTGAATAGAAGAGATGTTCTTGCAGTGGCTGATTCAGATCCTATGGATGTAGATGATGATTGCTAGCTTTCCTATGTGATTTCTTCTTCTCGAACTACTTTCTTCACTGTAAGTATTTAATGCATTGCCTAATATAAATGCAATTTGATTTTTCAGTATTTACTTTAAATTTCTCATTCTTTATTTGTTTATCTCTGATTCATTATTTGTTTGTATATACGTTTATAGTTGTAAAAAAAATCAAAAAAAATCAAAAAAATCAAAAAAAAGGAAAGAACCCAAAAAGAATATGTACATGGGTCACATAATTTATAAGTTCTTCTTCTCAAAGAATTTTAGAGTTTGTGTATCTTGTATTTATTTCTTTCTAAGTGTTTGTGTCATCATCAAAWAGGGGGAGATTGTTGGGTCACCTATTGATTTGGTGATGACCCACTGATCTGTTCCTCTACCTTAGCAACACTTAGTAGTTATTGGTTCTTTGTAAATTGGTGTCTTGGTACATACTTAAAGCCATTGGCAAAATCGAAGACTAGYCGATGTGAAGACAGAAGGTCACCRATGCGRTGTTGTGGAYCAACYGTCTAATATACACACCAAGACTCCGAAGTAGCTGAAATGCATATTGAAAATATTTTGAAGCTACAAGTCGATTGAAGGAAGATCTTCATAGACCGAATATTGAAAATCTTCATGGACTCAAGATTGAAGATCTTCATAGACCGAAGATTGAAAATCTTCATGGACACAAGATTGAAGATCATGGACCGAAGATTGAAAATCTTCATGGACTCAAGATTGAAGATCATGGACCGAAGATTGAAAATCTCCATGGACCGAAGATTTGTGTGTAGCTGCTTGAAGCTACATATCCATCCAAAGGAGATCTTCTTACAGACTGACCATATCTCTGCAAAGTTTGTCTCTGCATGAACTGTGTTGTATGCATGCTGTGTACGATGAAAATGAGATATCAACATTGGTCAAGTCAACCCCTGCCTTCTTATCCTCAAGTGACAAGTGTCCCCATGCATTAAATGCTGAAGGTAGTATAAAAAGGCAGTGTGCATCTCCCATGCACATAACTGGTTTTGCAAGATTACTTAGTGTACTCTCAAAGCAATCGGTTATTCTCTTCTACTCCCTTGCTCTCCTGTGTGCGAAGAAATTCTTAATGTTCTTCATTTCCTTTCAAGAACTCTTTGTGTTGTTATTGAAAGTTCTTCTCCTTGTAAGATTGTTTAGGTTAGGTTTTCCTTTCCTATCTTCCGCAACAATCTTTTGTATTTCTGTGTGTATTAATTCTTGATATAAATCAATAAGAATTAAAAAGTTGAAAAACGTTTGTGTAATTGTATTCAACCCCCCCCCCCCTTCTATAGTTACTTTCTGTTTATTGCCTTTCCCTTCGGGACTAACAAGTTGATAGTGTTACATTCGACTAAGCATAATTGGTGGACGTTGGGGGATGTATGCGATACATATAATCATGTCCTTGCACAACATATGGAGGATCATGCATATGCAATGCGGCTGAACAAACCTGAACGTCAACTAGTTGAAGATCTATCAGCCCAACATGTCAAGCCCGATATATTTTGTCCACGTTAAAGGGTATAAATGTAGAAAATGCGTTTACGTCAAAAACAATATATAATGAATTTCAAAATACTAGGATAAGAGACGATGGAGGGAGACCACAAATGCAGATTATTGTTTTTTTGTTGAAAGAAATTATGATTTTAAGACTCGTGTAAATGACGAAACAAACGAGTTGGAATATTTATTCTTCGTTCATCCAAAATCATTTGAGCTTTGGCGTGCATTCTCACAAGTGTTGATCATCGATGCCACATATAAAACAAATTGGTATGGATGTGTTTTATGTTAATGTTAATATTATTATTGTGTTTAATATCATTATTTTGTTTAATATTATTATTGTGTTTAATATCATTTTTTGTTTATTATCCAGTTACAATATGCCTCTTCTTGAGATCGTTGGTGTAACATCAACCGGCAAGACATTTTGCATAGCATTTGTTTTCATGCATAAAGAAAATGTATCAAATTATATTTGGGCTTTAGCTTGTTTAAAGTCAAGAATATACGATAACTTTTACCCTGGTGTCATAGTCACAGACAGAGAGTTTGCTTTGATTAATGCATGCAAAATGGTATTTCCTGATGCTAAAAGATTGCTTTGTATATGGCACATAGAGTAAAATATTATCAAACATTGTAGACCATCGATACACGAGTCTCAATCGTGGAATTCTTTTTTTCAAGCATGGTCGCAATTAGTTTATTGTCCAAATCAAGATTTGTACATGTACAATTTGGTCAAACTTCAAAAAATGCTGCTCAATTATCCAAGTATTCTTGATATAAGTTAGTTTAACCATTATTACTAAATATACTGATATATTTTTTGATATATTTTTCAGGTGTTTTGAATTACCTGGATAGTGTATGGTTGACGCCACATAAAGAAATGTTTGTATCTGCGTGGGTTGATCAATATTTAAATTTTGGAAATCACACAACAAATAAAGTTGAAAGCCAACATGCCAAATTAAAAGGTTATTTGGAGGCTACAAAAGAAAAACAAATTTTTTTTATCTCATATTGATCAAGTAATTGATTCACAAGATACATCGACTAAAGCAAGTTTTGAATCTTGTAAAACTATTAAGAGACATAGATATAACAATTCACATTTTCAAAATTTGTGGGGCCTTGTTTCATTTAATGCACTTGATATGATTTACAGTGAATATGCATGGTCTTTCGAAACTAGCGTATTTTCTGAAAATTGTGGTTGTAAAATGCGTACAAGTCATGGGTTGCCATGTGCGCATGAACTAGCACTATATACATGTCAAGGGGTACCCATTCCGCTTGATGCGATCGATGTATTTTGGAAAAACCTGATTTCTCACCATGAGTCTCCGCACAAGATGAGGATATTCAATGTGATGATGAAGTACAAATTTTTAAAGAAACTTTCAATAAACAACCAGTTTCTGGTCGTAAGAGCTTGCTGAAAAAGTTATAGGATATAATTATGCCATAAAAAAAACGTTGTTTCATGAACCCTCAGTTCATAGAACCACTCGTGGACGTCCTTCTATAAATAATCAAGCTCTAAATAAAAAAAATATTGCCGACCCTCGTAGATATAGTTGTTCCAACGCGTCAACCTTTATCAACTCTGAAGATTTTGGTTATCAAGAATCAGCAAGACATAGCTCATACTTCCAACGAAAACCCACACCCCCAAACCCATTTCTTGATCAAATCCCAAGTTTATTTCATCCATACGTCACACAGATACAAGATGTAGTGGGTGATGGAAATTGTGGATTTTGAGTCATATCTACTTGTTTGGGTGGTCATGAAAACACATGGGGCAATATTCGGCGTGAGTTAATGATTGAACTAACCGAGCATCAACATTATTACTCTTATGTCATTGCCAACGAGTGTGGAAGAATTGACGAAGCGTTGAACTTATTCACGGAAAACGTCTTTGCACCGGAAATGTATTGGATCGCTATGCCTGAAATGGGAATTCTAGCTGCTTCAAGGTTTAATGTCATACTGCATGTTCTCAGTCATAGGGCAAGCAATGTGACATACTTACCATTCAGGACACAACCGCCGCCATTATCCCAACACGTGTCAATTGCAATAGTGCATGTTAATGGTAACCATTACATAAAGGTGGTATTAAACGGAGAATACACAATGCCCACACTCGTACATCATTGGCCACATCATCGGCTTCCAGATGCAAGTACATGGACTGTTCCATACCAACGTAGATTTGATATGTATCAAGAATATATAGAGAATATTTGTAATCAAGATTATGCTAATTTAGGTGACTAATTAAAGTTGGAATTTGTTGGAATAAAAAATATCAAATAAATTTATTTATGTTAAAAAACATACGAGTGATTTTATTTTCTTTAAAAAAATCAATTAACCAATACGTTATAGCGGCCTATATATAGTTAAATCAAAAAATATTCAATATTGGACTCGTTTCGAAGCTATCTATGAGACGATTATAATGATGTAATTTGTTAAAATTAAAACGTATTTAACATATTTTAGTTAATAGATAATTATATGTGTTAATAAGATCGAAGTATAAAATGAAAAATAGAAAACTAAAAGGTATAAAGTAAGCTAATTAAATGAATTAAATCCAAAAAT